GTTGGGAGTCGCCACAACATGAGGAACTGTATAAAAGGGTTGCAGCATTAGGAAGGCTGAGAGCCACTGCTCTAGAATGCAAGATGTGGACAGGCAAGGTCTTACATGCCAGCTGGTAAACACTTGATGAAGGTTTGTTTACATACAAACACGACAAAAATAAAACGGAAACACATCTACGTTTCTAACTTTAATTCAACAATTATCAAAAATCAACTGAATAAATGCAGCAAAATAATTCATAACTGCTCTGTGTGGGATCAAATGTTTGTTTAACATGCAGCATAAAACCTCATAGACTGAGACTTTTTGTGTGTCTGTTAGCAATGCTGATTTGACTGTATTTATTGTGTAGATGCTGTGTTATGTAACTGTGCTAGTTAACACAGAAGAGAATAGAAATTTCTCTCTGCCTCCGTGAGATATCTTCTTCTTCTTCTTCTCTTCCACCATGTACCTCATCAAAGTGTCGGGGGGAGATTTCGTATTCTGTCTTTCCTTGAAACTCCTGCAGCTCTTCTAAGGCATTTCATCTCTGTTGTCACAATTTTACGTTCATTGGAGGATGTAAGTGTCCACGTTTGGCATTGATAGCATAGTGTTAGCCAAAAAAAAAGTTCTGATAAGATTCGTGAGATATCTTACAGATACAAATACTGGATAATGAGTATTATGGACACAATGAAGGCGGCAGAAAAGCTGTTATTAATAAAAATATTGAGAATACTGACAACCTATCTCTTCAGCATTGCAAGTTCTTGAGGTACACTGCTGCAGATAACCCCTGCTTGCATTCATCTCTGCAACTGGCCTTTTGTTTTCAGCTGCTGACTCATAACTGTTTGTAGGTCTGCCTGTACATTCTCGCTATCATCTTCTTGGTCTGCCTCCAGGCCTACTTCCATTGAACTCTTCTGTGTACATAATTTCTCTCTCCCTGTTATACATCATGTTCTCAATGTGCCCCAACCACTGCAGTCTATTAGCCCTCATGATGCCAGTAACGAGTCCTTTATGTTGCCAGTAGTGAGTGACAAGTGGAACATATTATGAATTAATATCAATGGTTAGTTGTGTATCCTTTACAGGACGTTGCAGAACCAACCCCAACAGCCCCTGGATGTTGTGTGGTTTTTCTAGGCAAATTTACGCCCAGTAGTTTGCCATTGCTTTCTGGACGGACGGCTTTCTTGATACCACTGTCGAAACCAACGCAAGGCGCATGGCCAGCAGCTGGGATCGAATCCGGCATCCCGGCATTATGAAGTGTTCGCATTGACTTAGCCACAGAGCCGACTTGAATATCAATGACAGAGAAGAAAAAAGAAATGGAGAAGCACTGACAGCTGCAGGAGTTACTGGCTCACTCATCAATGTGAAATATACACAGGATATCAAGAGAGGAATATAACAGACACATTAGCAAATTAGGGGGGGGGGGGGGCTAAGGGCGTGCTAGGCAAGAAAAGAGATGAACATGGAATTCTTCATTAGCCAGGGGCAATAAATAATATAAACAACAGAGATATCACTAAAACAGCAAAAGTGGAGGGGGGTCTTCACACTTCCTCCTCTACAAATTCTTCCTTCAGTCTGACTGTGGTAGACCTTCAAAAACTGGAGGCGTCCCCAGGGCTCAGCTAACTGGGAACCACTATCCAAACCACAGTTCAAGAGAAAACACTTGCCAAGCGTTAGATGAACTTTCAAACACAAAATTATTATATAATAAAAACACTAGTAAGGCACATAACAATATGTGCTGTAAAGTGTATCACAGTCACAGACATTTTTTTTTATAGTATATATATATTGATTTCCCTCCCCCATTAATCCTGTCATAAAAGACGACCAATTAAGAGGTTTTTTAAATCAAATGTGTTGGGTGGAAAGACGTGGATATCGCGGCCTAGCTGTAAATCACAATACAAAGTGCCAATTCCCCCCCCCCCCCTCCCCCCATTTTAGAGTAAAAACAGAAGAAATACAGATGTCTGACAATACTTTTTATGCAATGGGCACCAACAAGGAAACCAAACCTGGACATAAATCACTGATTTGACAAAGGTTAATTTAGATATATTTTACTGATTCTGCTACTAAAGTTAACCTGAAGTATTTCACTGATTCTATGACAAAACTTAACTGAAAGTATTTCACTGATTCGACGACAAAACTTAACCTGAAAGTATTTCACTGATTCTATGACAAAACTTAACCTGAAGTATTTCACTGATTCTACGACAAAAGTTAACCTGAAGGGATTTCACTGATTCTACTACAAAAGTTAACCTGAAGGTATTTCACTGATTCTACGACAAAAGTTAACCTGAAGGTATTTCACTGATTCTACTACAAAACTTAACCTGAAGGTATTTCATTGATTTTACTACAAAAGTTAACCTGAAAGTATTTCACTGATTCTATGACAAAAGTTAACCTGAAGGTATTTCATTGATTCTACGACAAAAATTAACCTGAAGGTATTTCACTGATTCTACGACAAAACTTAACCTGAAGTATTTCACTGATTCTACTACAAAAGTTAACCTGAAGGTATTTCACTGATTCTACTACAAAACTTCACCTGGGGGTATTTCGCTTTAAAAGAATGCAGCAAATTTCTTGAAAAAGTTAAATAAATAATCTAAACGTTTTGAAAGTGACACAAATAAAAAATATAACCTATCACAAACACCAGAAAGAAGCAGTCATCATGTTATTATCACATTATAAGAAGAGAAAAATGGAATATGTTGAAACAACTAGAAAGAAGGACAGAGGAAGACAGAGGCAGACAACAAGAGAGGTAGGGTAAACAATAAGAGATGCTAAGGAAGACAATAAGAGAAACATCAAAAGAATAAGAGAAAGATGAGAAAGACAAAAAGAGAAATACACAAGAGAGAAAATGAGGAAGGCAATAAAAAAAATGGAGAAAGACAACAAGAGAGACTGAGGAAGATAACAAGATAGAAGATTTTTGACCGCCTTCAGTCATAGCATGGACGTGTCAGTGCACAAAATGACAAATGCTGCACAAAACAAGAATAAAAACCCCCCCTGCCAGTGTAAGACTGTAACAGAAATGGCAAAATAATAAACAAAAAAACTCTACTACAGCAACGCAGCAAGAGGCTGACAATTTTGGTTAAATAAATATATGTGTACATTATCAATCTTAGTAGATTACAAGATGCTATGTATGACAGTGTATGAGATCTCTGTACTTGGAGGCTGCAACAACATAACAAATCCTTGCAAGTGATAAACAGGTTAAAACAAAAGCAAAACAAAAAAGATACCCAGTGGATCTCCAATATTTGATCTTAATACGTTCCTGGGGGGAGGATGAACATTAAAAAAGATGAATGTCAATCAAATTTTCCCAACAGGAATTAACTAAAATTATTGAATCCGGTCCTAGCCCCAAATTTTTGCTAAACTTTTCTTTAACAACAAACGATTTCACTCAAAATCAACCTTGGAAGAATCGACATTGAAACCACTGTACTTATTACTGCTTTATCATCCTGACAGAATTGTACTTATCCTGATGATGTAAATGTTTAAAGGAAATCTATCTTTGGATGAGAAAAACCAAACAATGGCAATTATTCTGAAGTGAAGTCACTTTCCCTTATAATGTCAGGTAGTACCTGCTGTTCTAATGATTTATCTGCATCTCCAGATAATTCACCAGCAATTGCTTCCCCCCACACAAAAAGTTATCCAATGCTTTTTTATTCTGTTTCTTTAAAAAAAAATTTTAAGTGTCCAAACACATTGTCATCAAATGAATATGCTGATTAACTATGGCCATGCTTAGATGCCATTCTCGATGAAAACCTACATTTTTGCACAATTAGACAGCCATTTCCAAATTTCAGCACTTAGAACAGGCCAATCGTCTACTTGTTCCTCATGTGACGAGATTCATCTTAATGTTTCAGCTTTCTGTTCTTTAGGAAGCTGAAGTAGTTCCTGTGTTGTGAGATCCGTTTTATGAACCTCCTAACTGGCCTGCTGGAGAAAGGTCGAATTTTGACTTTTCGGGGAAATATCTAACAAAAATTGTATCAAAGAAACAGGATGCATTTTTGTAAAGGATGGATATTGGCGTGGATGAATTGTGGAGTTCCACTGTACCATTGTTGCCTGTACATGCAGACACTTGTAACTAAAAATATGTTAATACAGAAGCATAATACCAAGTGTGTCGGAGAACAACTAAAGACAGGATAATAAAGATATATTTTTGTATATTTTTGTATATTCGAACAAATGCGCAAGAAACTGATGAATATCTGTTTACTGACTGCAAGCCTAATTCTTTTGTGTGTGTGTGTTGATTGGTTATTTATTTCTGTTTACTGACCTTGTTGACTGAAAGTACACGAGACAGAAGGTTGTGGATAGACATGACTACCAACGCCATATGGCATGAAATTTAAGAAGAAGAAAATTGACTGTGTGCTTGCTTACTTATTTACTGATTGTAACTGTGTTTAATGATTTACTGTGACATGACTTTGCTTAATTGTTTCTTCACACACTGTGTGTGGGGGTTTTTTGTTTTTGTTTTTTAATTTGTTTACCGACTGCTTGTCTATTTTATGTCACTTCAGTTAGGTAAGTTATATTTCTAATACTGTGAGGCCGCCTGCTGATAATTTCTTAATTTAATCCTAAACTGCTCATCATTGGAAATGATAGTCTTCAAGCTGGCAAGTTAAGAGTTAATACAGCCAGAAATTTTCACTTGAGGATTCAGATAACCCTGGCATGACTTCCTGTTAGACAACTGAATAAATGACTAGAAGAGCAGAACTGACATTAATACTGGCATCCACATAGCACCATGATGCAACATCATGGATTTTTAAAATACTGAAGTGGTCCTTAACCTACAAAGATGGTTATCTACCATCTTTTTCTGGAATTAAGAACAAAACATAATGGGAAATGTTTGAAAATATAATGTTCTGGTGGGTAATGAATTACTCTGTTTCAGTTCTGGTTTCAACACTGCTGTCTGTAACAGAGCGACTGTCAGCTGATGCAAGTTCATCACCATCTTGACCTTCATTGGCTATCTGGCCTTCGTCACCTCTCCAGCTGGTGCTAGAGGGCGCCACAGCGAAATTGGTGCGCGTCAGGAGAAACACATAGCCATTGAGTCCTCCAATGTTGACATTCAAAATAAGACGTCGCTGCCAGTATCTACCCAGATTCTGTATGGCCTAGAAAAAAACACAGCCAAACAGGTCATTAGAAACTTACAGATAAGTTTATGAAATCATCATCACGTTCCGGGGCCACATTTATTTTGAGAACAGACTAATGGCTATTTAACAAACATGTCGTAAACGCGACTAATTAAGGATTGATAGAAACTTTAGGTATTTTAAAATACAAAACGAAATGAGTTAAAAAAAATCATCTTTTATTTCTTTGTTCACCCTTAGAAGAGCTGTTGACAAGGTATGTTGTATTTACAGCAAAACAAAACAAAGAGATTTTCCAAAACGGCCAAATGCCTTTATGAGCTTGTATGTGCTCTTTGTTATATCTACATACATTTCAATGTTTAATCACATATCTTGCTGCAGAGATTTCTTAGAGCATAGCCTCCACTGGGAGATAACAGTAAAGGGTCGCTTGAGATGCCAGTGGCACTTAGAGCATTTGAGGTTAGACTCATATTTTTACAGATCAATCAGCCCTCAGGGATGATCTGGTCAACATCACACTGGCCACCTTTGCTTCCTAGGACCTTACCTTGTACCTGTTTAGACTGGCTTGACCTGACAGCCAAGGTCATGTACGAAAAATACAGCTCTATGAGGATTTGAACCTAAGACTTTTGGATATGCAGGCTCCCTGTATGGGTTCCGGGGCCCCATTGTGGGGAAAACAAGAACAGACCCCCTGCCTACCCAAAAGCATGTTGCAAGAGTTGACCTATTGGGGATCTCCTTCCAAGTCGGAGTGTATCTGCCTGAGAGGCAAGGAACCAACAGTCTGCAAACAAATAAGCTGGATCTGTGAAACGGATGTGCACGCAACACTCAGGTTCTGAAACAAGACTAAAGTCCATTGGCGGGCATACAACCAGAACTTTCGGCGATCATGAAGACGAAGAAGATGGATACGCAGGCAAGCATCTAGCCATTGGCAGTTGGGAGACGAAAGGCAGAAGAAGAAACAAAAATGACATAAAGCTCTTTTAACAGTTTTAAGAGACTGAGACTGCACAAAGTAACACCCTAAAGTTAGCAATGGTTTTACTGTTACGCACACTCAACATTCCTCTGCTGTGCAGAGAGCTGAACAATCAACAAGCAACTAGAAAACTGAACTCTGTCTCTTTAGAAGAGCAGAAAAGATGCCATAAAAAGAGAGTTGTAAAAACGAGAGAAGTGAAATATTTTGGCCACATTAAAAGACATTATAACATTTTTATTTTTTAATGAGGAAATTGAGACAGACAGTGATACAAATGGGAGGAAAACATCAAGAGGTGGATGAACATAACTGTGAGGAAGTGTAAATCCAGGACAAAAGACAGCAGGTAGGAGATCCGGAGTAGCCAGCCACTGATTGATTTTTCAAGTTCAATCAATTTGTAGAAATAAATATCAAGCCTCAGTTATACGCACAGTTCACTTTTTCTTATAGTTCATGCAACGTGGTTTTGGCAGTCATCTCTATCTAGAACCTTCTGTCTCATGTACTTTCTATAAATTCTAACACAGATGTATTCCAGTTTGTTTTCTTCTCATGACATGACCAAAGAATGATGTGGGAAATCAGTTTTTTTTTACAGTTCACTAACCTTAATTAAACTGCTCCTGTCTTCTGTAAGCAGGCATGCCCTAGCACCCAGCCTGGCGGTTCTGGCCATCTCTGAGAGCAGGGAGGAATATAAAGCTGGATTCACAGATCTGGAGCCCATTCTGTACAAATAAAGTCAATCATTAACACATTCAGTACCAAACAAGCAGGAGAAGGCAACAGTATATGGCTACACATGATTTTTAAAGTTATGTTATCACAATCAATGTCACTGCACACTGGGCATATTCAAACACGCTCAGTCCTCTGATGTAGCAGCCTCTAGGTAACTATACTTTTTGTTCCCACAAAGTGTTGATTACAATATCTCTTACCTCAGTCTTAAAGGTGGCACAGACGCATTATGCTGTACTCCCAGGTCATTACCTTTCCCATCGGCATGACCAGGTGTGTAGATTCAGATGAGGGAGGTTTAGGACAATTTTCAAATATTTTTTATTCAGAGTGCATGCTACTGATTTTCTGAAGCATATTCACAAATTTACTGCACATGTGGCTGTTTGTTCTGCTATCCATGTTAGTGCACTGGAAGCTGTGGTTATCTTCATGGCCATGCTTGGCGCTGTTATCTACAAAAATCTCATCTGAAAGAAATAAGGTTTTATTTTTGTGCCAGGGCACTCTGAGGTAAGAGTAAACAAAGGTGTGGATTGGCTTGCTGTCAAGGTCAAGGTAGGTACAGGAAAGGCAATGGACCGGGCTGACATTCTCAATGCTCTCAAGGAAGCAAGACGAGAAGGTGATTCAGGAGACGACATTGAATCTGCAAGACTCAAAAGACTACAAGAACTTCAGGTCAAAAGAGATGTCACCAAACATGAAAACTTTACAGGTAGCTAAAGAAGAAACCAACACAGAACTGGTGTTATCAGTTGCCACAATTGAGGGATATACTGAAGATGGAATCTGAGTACTTATGAACTTCTCTGAAGGGCAATGAGGATAATCTGTTGATCAACTAACTAACTTACCTGGTAAGCACCATTATAATTTTATTGTTTTCCCCATTCCTTGTTTAGTGTATTCCCATGATGGACCTGACCCATGCTTTACGGATCCATCTAATTCTTGCAGTACCAAGAATCATTAATACAGCATGATACAACAAACTGCCCCATGACTTTACAAGAATACAAAGTGTCTGTTGTCGAGGCAGCCAGACGAGCAAAGAGCAGAATTATATATCTTCTCCCTCAACATCTAAAGTGGTAAAAGAGCAAGAGAAGAAGAAGTAACAAACAACCTATTATCATTTGTTGACTTTCACTGACACGATTCACATTTCTGACCCACTTATAATCTATCAAGTTGTTACTGAGTGGCCCACTCTGCCCGTTCCGTAGTATTTTTGTTTAAAATGCTCAGATCCAAACATTTATTACTGAAAGCAGGGCTTTTGTGTAGATACAAAGGTGCTGGTACTTACCAAAAAGTGCTAAAGGTGCTGGTACTCCCTAAAAGTGCCTATTACAGTAGTGCCGAAAAGATTATGTCTAAAAAGAACCAGTGAACTTAACAACTGTTTGATATTAGCTATATGTGTAGATAGCACTGTTCTCATGAGAATGAGCACTGAAAATTGGACGCAAGACAGATATTCTAATAATGACATTAGACATGGACACTGCTCAGAAAACAGTCAGGACAGAAATGCAATGTTTACATCCTATGCTAGGTGAAACAAGGGAAGATCCATTTAGGAACGATGATATCAGGAGGAGAGTCAGCACAGAACCAATATCGGCAGACAACAGATCAAGTGTCTGGCCATGTGACAAAACTGGAACCAAACAGGGCACCATAGAGAGAGATGTTATATAGATACAATGGTAAAAGAGGCAGAGGTCGACCACGCAGAATATGGACAGCAGAAGTATCAAAGACACTGAAAAGTACTAAACAGGAAGTGACCAGAAGGAGTTGGTCCAGAGATCTTCCTGCCCTGTGAGGCATTCCAGGAGTAGAGGAAAGAAGAAGAAAAAGACATTATAACAATTATTTTGCTAAATACAAATATGTTATATACTTTTTTTTTTAGAAACATTGTCATAATTAGAAAGTGGTCCTGTTTGACACGGTGAATTTTTTACCATAATTATTGTCTTTATATTACTCTGAAGGTGAGGCTAAACACATAACCCCCCACACCCCCACTCCCTTCCGAAAGGTGTCTTGCTGGCTCGTGGATGTAAGGAGGTGTCTTAAATTCCCCCAGACAAAAAACACAACATAGCTTCTTTTTGAGCAAATGGCCTTTACTGTTCAGCCCAGATGCAAAACTCTCAACAACATGAACACCTGCACAGGTACCATAATGGAAAACAACAATAATTTAAAAAAAATTATGTATCTGTGTAGTTTAGGGGCAAGTCATTTTTATAAATACACAGCAACAAACACATACATTAAACATGCAGAGAATGCCTATTTCACTCACCTATGTCCAAAAGGCTGAAACAAGAATACAGTAAAAATTATTCATGCATATAAATACACTTCTTGTGAATTTCAATACCGCTAGGCAAAGTAAACTTCATGTAAACATGCCACTGCGAGATACATCAAATTAGATCTACATATCGGAGTGCATCTGCCGGAGAGGCAAGGAACCAACAGTTTGTATTTAAGAGAATGACATCTGTAAAACTGATGCACACTCAGGTTCTGGAGCAGGACTGCAGTTCAGCAGTGGACGAGCAACCAGAACTTTCCGCCAGAGTGTACAGCTGGTGAACGCGAAGAAGAAGAAGAAGATCTACATATTGAGGGAAAAAAAAACTTTTGCCCTGGAAGCCACAAACCGGCCACTTCCGTTAGGGTCAAATTTCCAGAGAATGCAGTTTACCTGACCTTTCTACAGTGATGTATTTGTGAGAAGTCTAGTTAAAGGCAGTTTATTCCTATAAGTATTTAAACCCCATCTTCAGCAGCCAGTACAGATCCAGCGAAAAGGACTTTCTTGTTATTATATTAACAAGATTTCAACTCTGTGTCCTATCCATTGCCAGTGTCTTTCCTCACCCCCAAAGCCACTGGAATTCTTATATTCTCAATCTTAGCATAACTGTAGACTGTAGATGTAAGATGTTGCTAAAAGAAATGGATAAGACAGAACACAACATAAAGAAGGATCCCCTGTTACCCCTTATCTGCACAGGACTGCAGGCTACACCACTTGCTGTAGCTGTCACTGGTATCCTAATGACAACTTCCTTGGAGGCTAATTCCTTCAGGTCCAGAAGATCACAGCTGATATCTGGTTGTGACAGCAATAACAACAAAACTGTAGGTATAACCACATTCTCAGGACTAAATATACCGCAAAATTTAGGACAGAAATGTGGTGCCCTGACTTAACTTAAGACACAGAACACTCATAAGATGTTTTCAGTTTGACTGCAATATCCAACCACAAATAGTGAGCTGTTTGGTATTTAAACAGTTCTGCTGAGTATCTGTGTGTTGCCCTGTTGGATTGCCTCCAGCATGACTCCAGAAAGCACAGGGATGGTGAAATATTAGGTAGCACCCCAGCCCCACCCTGCCACAAATAACATAGCTCCATGACAGAAACAAAACATTTTCAAATGTCAGAATATTTGTTCCTACCACGTCAGAAACAAAGACATCAACACATCTGTCCCTCAGGGGAAGGTGCTGAATGTCCCATTGAAGCACATCCAGTTTCAAAGAGCTCCTGAAATGAAGCCACAAAAAGACATGTTTTGTTGTATTGGTGTTAGTTAGCCAAGTAGTTTGTTTGGTGTACCTGATAGGCCTTACAGATCCCCGTAACCTAAGGGCTTCAATGACTAATTAAAACTTTGAGCACACAGATGTAAACCAAGATTACCTCTAAATTATGCCCACACATAAGAACATAAATTCAGTTTTCAATTAAAGTTATCCAGTATGTTATGTTTTACATGAAAATTAACAATACCCAATTCTCTTCTTTGCTTTCACGAGCTGTAAACTCAAACAGAAAGTTCTGGTTGTTCATCCACTTCTGGATTTTTAGTCTTGCTACAGGACTTGAGCTTTGCGTGCACATCTGTTTTACACATCTGGCTTATTTGTAAGCGGACTGTTGGTTCCTGCATTCTCAGGCAGATGCACTCAGTCTTTGAAGGAAACACCCCTATTTAGCTGATACATGCACACAAAATAAATGGGACCCCGGAAGAGACACAGGGATATTGTTCTCTAATCACTCTATTGGTTTCCGGACACTGGTATATGTCACACCACACAAGAGATGGGAGACTCCCCGCATAATATTCTCAAAAGAAAACAACAGTAACTGCACATATTCCCTGCAGCCAACATGTCATGTGCAGATGGTGCCCCAAATGAATCTTCTTCTCAAAGTCCATGCTGTGTGGCATTGGTAGTCATGTCCATCTATAACCTTCTGCTTCGTGTACTTTTAATCAATACTGATACAGACAATACTTCATGCCATGATGTTCAACTGTCCAGGCTCTTTTCTCTCAGTCTCCCTCTGCCTCCACTGCACTGCAACTTTTCTACTGTCCAGTTTTCTCTTTCTCATCATATGATCACAGAACGTAGATGGTCTCTTTCTGATGTGGGCAATCTGTTCTCTTCATGAGTCCGTTTCTTTCAAGACATCCTCACTACTCTTTTAATCTGTCCAGGGTATTCTCATAATTCATTTATAAATCCACATCTCCGCAGCTTCCAAAAAAGTTATTACTAATTAACCAACTGTTCATGATTCACTTATGTATATTAAGATAAGATTTATATAGCTTTTAAGAATTCCCTTTCTCGTCTAACTGAATACCCATAGCAAAATCACTACAGGATTTGTTTACACTAGAGATGAAACATCAACAAAGACACATACTTATTCTCTTGTTTCTGTTTTTCCTGAATGGCAGCAATGTTCAGGATGGTTCTTTCGATGGCCTTCTCATGGATGTCCCCGCCAAAATGGAAGCAGTTGACCCAGTTAAGAGCCCCTTCTATGGGGATGGCACAGGTGCCACACATGGGATCACACACAAAGTCTCCATTCTTGATACGACACAATCTGCCAGAGTTCAGAGATATGTATTAGCATTATCACATTTATTAAAATCCAAATTTTAAAACTGAAATCCACTAGGTGTAGCAAGCAATATTCCAGAAAATGCAAAAACAAAACCTTATCATTAACACGTGATGATGGTGATATTGAAACCCAACTGAGGCAGAGTATTCATCTCTCTCTCAGCATTCACCGGTTAGAAAACACTGACAGGAAGGTCTGACTGTTCACCTCAACATATTGTAACAGATGGTAAGAAGAACAATCTGGCAACACTCACCTCAACATATTGTAACAGATGGTAAGAAGAACAATCTGCAACACACACCTCAACATATTGTAACAGATGGTAAGAAGAACAATCTGGCAACACTCACCTCAACATATTGTAACAGATGGTAAGAAGAACAATCTGGCAACACTCACCTCAACATATTGTAACAGATGGTAAGAAGAATAATCTGGCAACACTCACCTCAACATATTGTAACAGATGGTAAGAAGAACAATCTGGCAACACTCACCTCAACATATTGTAACAGATGGTAAGAAGAACAATCTGGCAACACTCACCTCAACATATTGTAACAGATGGTAGCCCTGAGGGTGGTGGGACCAAAAGCTACCAGGTTCCTGTAGTGCAAACTCATCTTTGTCAGGGCTAGAGACACTGTGACTTCTTCATTGTCTATGTTGAGGATGACCTGAGAAAAAAGGCCACAGATGCAAATATTACTTTCTGTCAAAAGAGAGCTCCATGTACTTCTGCTTTTTAATCCATTATCATCTATATTAATAAAAATGTTAATTTTCCGATGTCGTTAGCTAAAAACTCGGAAACTACTGAACCGATTGCTTTCAAATTTTCACACAACGTTGCCCGTGACTCCAAGCGTGAATATTTGTCATAATATCCCACAAACCACAAACGACGTAGCTCCAGCAACGGTCAAATCATTATTTGTTTCGTTGCCCGCCCGGATTTTTTTAAGTCAGTCAGCCACCTTTGACTGTGTAACACCGAACTTCCCATTCTTATTATATACTTTCATTTCTACTAAGAGCTAGAGTATCTGGTAGCGTAGTTAGTTGTACGCATTCAGCTTTTTACTTGGGTGATAGGTGTTCGATTCCCCGCTGGGTGATATAAATTTTTTTTTTTGCCCCTAAATGGGTGGCTGCCACTTTTTGTTGTGGTTTATAGCTAGGCTGCAATATCTACGCTTTTTTCCCCGTTCGATTTTGGGGTTTACAGCTAGCCAGCTATAGCGGCGACGTGATGCTCAATGTTCATGTCACGGGTAATATTCGTTCGCCCTTGACAGGGCGGTTGGTACGTTGTGTTGTGGTATACAGTTAGGCTGCGATATATGACCTAAAGTCTTCAGTCTTCGGTTAGAGTTGTTAGTGATGATGATGATGATTTATGTGCTGGTAAACCAACATGTGTGTCACTAATGAAGTACATTGTGTACTGGGTACACCCTTGAACACGGCAAAAAATCTCGTTTCAGTATTACACAGAGACAACCTTGAAAAAACTTAGGAGACCTTGAAAAGCCTTGAAATTGATAGGTAAATTTGGCTATGAACCCTGTGTTAGTATTCCGCCCTAATCTTTCTTTTTGCCCTAGAAGAGGATTGGAACGTTGTGTTGTGGTTTACAGCTAAGTTGCGACATCTGCGCCTTACGCCCAGCGCCAACTCCTCTGGCGACACCGACCTGTACAGACAGTAGTGACCGTTTTGACGGTGGTGGTGGTAGTGGTAGCAGTAGTACTGATACTCGATGGGTGATGTGGTAGCTGTTACACTGGCCACATTTACTTCTCAATACAGATTAATGCTACCCATGTTTGTCTGGGTGGACACGGATGCCAAGCTCAAGTTAACAATAATTCGTCAGGCGATGACTTTCCCATACTTCATAGAGGATTATTTTACAGTTCTCATTTCTTACCTATTTCTATTTTAACAATGTCGCCACATAATAATGTTTCACTCAGTTGGAGACGGAGATATAATTGGGCAGATGCTTGAGTCCTTGGTAGCGTAGTTATATATTTTGTGTGTTACGCGGGTGACTGGCCATCAATGCTCGAAAGGGGTAAATAAAAATTTTTTTTATCTCAACTAAGTGGTTGGCACGTTGTGTTGTGGCTTATAGCTAGGCTGCGATATCTACATCTTTTTCGGCACGGTTTTGGGGTTTACAGCTGGCCTGTGATAGCGGCCACGTTATGTTGGTCATGTCACGGGTAATCTTTGTTCGCCCTTGAGAGGGCGGTTGGCATGTTGTTTTGTGGTTTACAGCTAGGCTGCGATATCGGACCCAAACTCTTCAGTCTTAGGTAGTAAAGTTGTACGTATTCCACCCTTCACGTGGTTGACCGGTGTTCGATTACCCACTACGTGCTAATTTTTCTTTTTCCCTCAAGAGGGCTGTTGGCATGTTGTGTTGTGGTTTATAGCTAGGCTGCGATATCTGCATCTTTCGCCTAAAGACATCCAATTTAAGTAAAGTCCCATTTATCCTCCCCGCGACACTTCAATCATAAACTATTCGTTGATGACAGAAGCTGTTAACTAAGACTGCTTACAGTCCAGTTTACTTTGGGTGCTTTACGGTGGTAGCTGTTACACTGGCCACATTTACTTCTTATTACACATTAATGCTATCCATCTGTCTCTGGGTGGACACGGATGCAAAGCTCAATTTAGTTACAATATTTCGTCAGATGATGACTTTCCCATCCTTCGGCGAGGATGATATGATTAGTGTGTGTGTGTGTGTGGGGGGGGGGGGGGGGGGGGGTTGATGGCAGACAACTGAGAGAGCTTCAAACATTATTTTACATTTATCATTTCTTATGTATTTCTATTTTAATAATTTCGCCAAGTGATGATTTTTTTTTATTCATTCGGAGAAGGACATGTTATTGGGGGGGATGGGGGGGGGGGGGTTATGCCAGACACTGTTAGCTGAGAGAGCTTCAGACATTATTTTCAAGTTCTCATTTCTAACTATTTCTATTTTAATACTTTCGCCAGGGATGATTTTTCAATCCTTCGGAGAGGGAGACATGACTGGGTGGAGGGGGGAGAGGGTTATGACAGACACTGTTAGCTGGGAGCTACTTTCTTTCTTTTCCATTTCACCATTCGGGGCCACAGCAACACGTGGCAGGGCACAGCTAGTTATGCATAAGTCGACAGATCATTGCCACTGCTCATCGATCCATTCAGTCCATATATACCTGTAACCTCTTAGTACAATCCTGAACCAGCACCTGCTGAATGATGAATGAATCAATCATGAACTGACATCCCTGCACTTGTGACATTCCTACAAGTGCTCCATCTCCTGCTTCAGTAGCCACCCAAGAGTCAATATGCCAACAGTACTAGTTGCAAACTAATTAAATGTCCGCCTGTGTTTCCCTCTCAGTGCTGAACATCTTCCGGAACCTGTGCTCACTCCCTCCCTTACCCCTCATAAATTAGTCTTTCCAGGTATGGGATCTCTGTCAAGTCCACTTGATCCCAGAGAAACTTCCCAAAATCAGCTTTTTCAAATGGTAGCTCACTACCAGAAGGAGTGGCAGCGGCCAGTCTATCAGCCTGCTTCATCACCCCGTACACCCAAATATCCTGCACAGAAAAACCATGATATGCTTTCTACCAAGCTAAAAGTACTGTTATGGTTCAGACTTCTGCTTTTTAGCCTCCTATAGAGCACAGACATCCAACCAGCTCATACTGTGATCCTGTTTTTTGCTACTTCGTGTCCCCCCCCCCCCCCCTACTTCTCTCTCTAATTCCTATCTCTACATGTTTTCCGGTCTTCTAGTATTCCTTTTACCCCTGCGGGTTACAGTGCATGGCCCGGTGGTTGTGTCTTTGAATCTCCACGGAGTCACTGATGGTTTTACAAAGTAACCTCTCTGCTTCCAGCCTGATGTGGGTAGATGGCAAGGACAACTCTCTCAATCCCCAGGCTCTAAGATCACATTTCATTCCAAAAAAATAAAATAAAAGGGTGTGCAAAACTTTAACAGAGGCCGCATTTACATACTTTGCAAGAAACAGAGACTATGTCACATATTAAAATAAACAGACAAGATTCCAATAATATTTGTCCTGTATGACTGTGCATCAGATGCTTCATCAAGACAACAGGGAAAAGTGTAGAGAAAGAAGAAGAAGAAGGACAACAGGGTATAGGCGAACGAAAGAAGAAGAAGAAGGACAACAGGGATAAGTGTAGAGAAAGAAGAAGAACAACAGGGATAAGTGTAGAGAAAGCCAAAAGGAGTCAGGATCGTTGACATACTTCCTTTCACCTAAGAATATCTCCAGAACTAGTACCTGGAATGTTACAACTTTGTATATTTCCCTAATTAGTAAACATTGCAGCTTCTCCTCTGAATGGGTGGAAATTTATCATAGAATTATTATTCTTTATTACAGAATTTGTGTTTTAGGAGTATGTGAAACTAGACGGACCTGGCCAGGAAAAAAAAAATCTAAATTCAGAGGAAACTATTGTTTCTCAGGACACACAGAGGAAAATTCTCCCCACAGAAAAGGAGTGGCCCTGATGCTAATGCTATAGAAAGAAGGAGAGAGGGCACTAACAGAATAGGAAGCTGTGTCCTAGAATAATAAAAGCGTCTTTAGAACAGCAAAACAGAAGGTGAACATGTCGGTAATACAGTGTTATGTACCAATAAATGATACGGATGCAAAATCAAGGAGGAATTTTACACACAACTTCAAAATATTATAAATAACGAAAGAAAGTGCAATATAAAAATTTTGAAGGGTGACCTGAATGCTAGAATAGGATCAGATAACATAGGTTATGAAGAGATTGTGAGAAAACATGGACTAGGAATAATGAATGAGAATGGCAAATTATTCACCAATTTGTGTGCAGGAAACTAGTATGTTATTGGTGGAAATATTCTCCCACATAAAAGAATATACAAGATAACATGGGAATCACCAGACCATAAGACAACCAATCAAATTGATCAAATTTGTACAAACATACAAACTAAATTGTAGATCATCCCTTTATGATGTTAGGGGCTTTTAAAGGTGCCGATGTATTTACTGACCATTTTTGGTTGGTAATTAAAATCAATGTGAAACTTAAGAGATATATAACATCTTATAATCACAGAAACCAGTATAATGTAGAATATCTCAGGGATACAGAAGTAACAACAGTCTCTAAAAAGTACTAGGTGTTGCAGCAGTTAGCTGTAGAGGTCAGCACTGAAGTCTGCTGGAAAAAGATCCAGGAAATTTGGAATGAAACCTGTGTTGAAGTCCTTGGTAAAAGAAAAACGGAAACATAAAGAGTGGATAATGCCAGAACCCATTAAAATAATTCAAGGAAAAAAGTAAGTGCAAAATTGTTTACATCAAGGCTGCAATAACTGTGCCTTATAATCCTACATATCTGATTTCAACAAACCCTCAATCAGCGCCATTTACAACATGCTGGTTACATGGCAGTGGGTCTCTTTTCTCTTAAAACGCGCCCCAGAATCTACATGGAGACAATTGTGGGTTCAATTATTTCTAAATAATTACCTCAAGATCAAAATTTTTCAAGTCCACTTGCCAGCCGAAGTAAGCGACAAGAGCACTGCCAAAACTGGCAGCTGCAGAAGTGGAATCAAAAGCATGTGTATCGCCAGTTCTGAAGCAGGTGACTCGAAATTTGGGCTTAGTTGGGTCAGGTTCTTTCTTCACTGCGGCACGCTTGTATGTTTTGCTGCTGTCATTTCCTTCAAGGGACTTGTCCCTATCTTCCTGCTGCCTGGAATTTGTAGAATCTTCTGCTAACTCTTTGGCAGAACTAGATGTTTTTGGAGTGGAGGCTGAAGTTGCCAGAGTAGATAATGAAGGCACATTTGGCATGTTGGAAGACGTTTCATCAACAGATATACTTTCTATCTGGGCAGTGCCAGCGGAGAATGGGAGTTTAGCATCAATAATGCCCCCATTGTCATCTTTATCTTGACGTGAACCCTGGATACTATCTCCTCTCTCTGGCAACTTGCTATTGTCAAGAAATGGTAACAGTTCCGAGGTGAGTCTGCCTTGCAGGTTAGAGAAAGGATTGTCTATGCTCCTGATGGGAGTTGGAGGCGGTGTCACACAAGACATCTTTGGAGAAACACCTCCTGCACCATCTTCTGCAGGGGCTGGCTCTCGTGGTGAGGTCAGCCTACTGATGACAATGGAGGCAAACTCTGACTCACTAATTTTCTTGCCCACGGGGGATAAACTGCTGTCAGCTGATGAACCCTGACCTGGGCTGAGGCTGTTATTGGTGAAAGACATGGCTGCCTGTTTTGTTGCTTCATCGGATATTCCAGCCGTCAAGTTCACTTCTGATGCCAAATTATGTTGCCTTAAACTCTCGCCACCTTCTTCTGGTGCTGGTTTGGAATGATTGTCTAAAGTCCTTGCAGAATCAAGTTTAAGCAAATGTTGTCCTGCACGTGAAGCAGCAAGCCTATTCACCTTAGAACCATCATCTTTCTTAGACATACTCAAATCATTCTCATCCGTCAGCCCAACCTCCTCGTCATGTGATGCCAACAGATCACTTTCCTTTTTAACATCTGCATCTCCTTTCTCATTCACAGGCGATCTTGGACTTTGCTGGAACGAATCATCAAGCTTAGACTTATTTCCTGCAGGTTCTTCTCTGGTCCCTTTGTGACCTTCTGTTGAAAGGTCATCTACTGGAATGTCTGTGGCGGGATCACAACTTGCAATATTCTCCTTTTCAGTTCTTTTATTTTATCTTTCTTCTTCCCCCACCTGCCTTTCTTTTTATCCTTTTTAGCAGATTTATCTTTTGGGGGAGGCAGATTGGTAATAATGACTACATCCATAAGATCTTCGTCAGAAGGAATAACGTCTGGACGTGAAGCAATAGGATATGGAAAGGCATAAACATGCTGCCATGCTCGCAAGCCAATTTCCCAGTCTATGTCTTTCACCATCTTCTGCAAGCGTGCCAGGCTGTCATGCTGAAAATACACAAAACAGTTATTTTTACTGGAAGACATAGTTTGGCAGCAAAATGCTTATAATATTAAATAAGAAAATTAGCTAACATTGCATATCCTAAGAAATTTTCAAATTATAGTTGAAAATAAACAGAAACCATAACTGTTAATTATCTAATTAAAATGAGTTATTTAATGTTTCACAAAACTAATTATAATAATAAAGTAGGCTTTGTTACAGAAAAAGAGACAATAATTATTCTTCCCCTGGTCTTCTCCCTTTGAAAGTTCCCAGTACCACAACCTATTGCAGGTTTCCCTTTCTCACGGCTTGCCCAAACAATCCTGCTCTTTGATCTAAGTAAGTAATGAGCTCCATTCGTGAGTTGAATGTTTTCAAGACATCGTCATTTCACTACAGTCTAGCAATGGTGTTCTCACCATTTTTCTTTAAAAAAAAAACGCATGTCTGCAGTTTCCACATAACAAATTGGCTGAATACCCATGATTCACTTCTGTCAACCATCAAAGAGATAAGTGGTTCCTTTGCTGTTACAACCAGCTGGTTTAGAATAGAGACCACAAACAAACAAACAAAAGAACTTTACATTCAATGGGTTCAGAATTGGGCTTGCAGGCCTGTCTTATATTCTGCCATTTTGGTCTCACTCCTTACACAAATATTATTCAACTCATACATCAGCATAAAAATAATATACATCATCAACATCAAATTCTTAGTCACAATTGCTGCGATATGCTCTCATTTTACCCACATTCAAATTAGTAATAATACTAAGTATAGTAAATGTAACAAATCTAGGGGCAAAACACAGTATGTTTACAAATATTCTCTCTGAAGTGGTATACAGTCTGTGCTGGGATACTGTGTTGTAACAAGGGCACTGACATGACTGGGTCTCAGAGAATTCACACTTGTGTACATACAGAGTGACACTGAGCATACTCATGAAGATCCAGGCTGACTACATCAGACAAAATGGACTGCCTCATTAAATACACTGCTAACGACTCTATTAGCCTTAATCTTTATGCCAGGCAAACAGGTGTTCCAGTCAATGAAAGTGCAGTTTATTTGGCAGACAATGTGGCTACTATGATTGGTCTGGCACTGGACAGGCATGACATGTTTAATGCCATGTAAGATACATATTAGAAGATGATGATGATAAGAAGTATGAATACCTATCCCTGTCCAGGTTGGTTGATACGTAAGTACAACCCACAGTTGCCAGACACGTAAATTTTCACTAATGGCATACGTCTTGAACTGATCAACACAGAACGGGGAGTGATCAGTAATTTTACTCTTGTGCAGCTATTCAGGAGGAGATTGAAGAGACTGGAGTATTTGTGGATCTGTCCAGAGTGCTATGATGATGGTTGTTACTAATAACTTCTGCACATCAGAAAGGCTCTACTATTGTTAGGTCATCAGTGTAAAACATAAAAACCAGCTGTTGTCCTCAAGTGCTCAAATCATCATTTGCCAACATCATGTTGTCTCCTTACTGCCACGTTATTTTCCTGGTTCCAATTGTATGCAGCTAAGTGAACTTCAGAGCAATGTGGTTGTTACAAAACTCAAAATGGTGATTTTGAATCTAGGACGACTGGACTGAAAAGTAAGTGCACAAAGTGGAGATACTATCAAAGTTTCATACTGTCTATGTAAACAAAAAGCTTTTTGAGCCAGTGGCACACCAGGCATGTGACATGACATTCATATTTTTGACAGTTCAAACGACACTTAACAGATGACATGTCCAACTTCATGTCGGCCACATTTACTTTTCCAGAGACTTCCTGGTAACCATGTCCTGGGAGCCAGATACCATTATTAAAAATTCTATTTTAATGCGGATGGGACCTACAAGCTGTCTACATGGGGATGTATCATAGATAGTTGCAATGAAACAAATACCTGGTCTGTGAAGTGAAAACATGGAACTGTGTGTACAACCACCTTGCAGTTGTCAACTGAGCCCATCTTCAGCACCTGGTGAGGTTATACAAGAGACTTTTACAGAATACCCGACAAATGAGCAAACATGAATATGCTGAATAAAATGTGAATGGTGAACAATGTAAACTCTCAAAAGGTGAGCTACTACTACTACTTCTCTGTCATCGGCGGTAAACTCCAGTGCAAAGTTTTGGTTGTTCATCCATTCTGGACTTTAGTCTTATTCCAGAATTTGAGTTTTGCATGCATATGCTTATTTGTAAGTAGACTGTTTCTCGCCTCCCAGGCAGATGCAGTCTGTCCCGAAGAAAACACTTTCCTAATTTGTTGACTTGTATGACACACTTGTTAGGTGGTCAGTGAGTATATGTCCCCCCAAACCCCTCCAATATGGGATCCCAAACCCACAGGAGAAAGAGATTAACAAATAAAAAGACAGTGAAATAGAACAGCATGGGGTCTCATAATTAGTTTGATGTGCCTCACAATCTGACGGTCATAGGTTCATTTCACAATCTGCGGCATTCTTTCCTGAGTGCAATTTATATGGAGGTCATTTGGCATCCTCACTGGAGCTAGAGTTAATGCTTTGAGCAATGCTCTTATAGATGGCTAGCAATTCTTCTTCTTTTTGTTTGTCAGAGTGACATAACTGCGTTCTGTTTACAGCAAAGCTGTGAGTACTTAATTTAAAACTTACCCCTGACGTCACGACAACGTCACGGGAGACATTCCCAATAAATTCTATCTAGGGTGTTCAGATTGTAGTTTCTCGCGATTTCTCTACAGTAAAGTTTAGGGTTAGGGTTAGGATTAGAAGACACTAGATGAACACTCAAAAAAAGCGCCACACAACAGCACACTTGCACCCCTTGAAATAATGGACTGTCAGGTCAGCTGTGGATTTCCTGTTTGGGGTACGTTATAAATTAAGAACCAAGCTGTGTTATTTGCCCCTTTCATCTATCTTCATAGGGCATTTTTCACCAGGTTAGCCTTCCAGGTTGGTTTCGTGGGACACGATGTAGCCCCATCTGTGTAGTGTTCTCTTTGTCCCTTTGTTTATAGATGGGTGTTGCTCTTGAAAACCATTCAAACCCCTCGACTTTCAAACTTGTATAACTGCCAGTGTAGGCTGGAGTTTTCTCAGGCTAAGACCAAGACAGTTTCTCCACACTGTTGGCAGACAGTGTACAGACTAGAGTTTATTTGTTGATTAAATGAACACTATATGCGAAAATGTGAACACCATTCACTTCATGATTCGCCGTGATAAAAAATATTTTGATTCTTGCCTGAAACTTAAGCTGTGCATTTGTGACCCTGTCAGTGCTATTTTGGTTTGTTTGTGGTGGTACAATACTTAATGCAATACTGACATATTTTTAGGCGGCATTTTTCAGCCCTAATATAATAGTCAATTTGTTGAGAGTACTCGCACCTGTTATTTTGGAGGGAAAAATGCCACCCTGGCTTCTGTGAAACCATTTTTATTTATTCAAGCCAATGCAAGGGGAGCTTCAGAAGCACAGAGGGTAGCATGCTTGCTTGCTAGGCTAGAAGCCATTAGATCAGGTTTGAATCCAAACAGAAATGTATTTTAAAAATTGACCTGGGCCCATATGAAACATTCCTTGCAGAAGATCTTTTTACTGTTTTTATTTCATATGTAAATCAAGTATAATTTTAGTGTGTTTCTATTTGCAACATCAAAGCAATTATCACTGTATTTCTCCACATATGAGACAAAATATTTTTCTCAATTTGCTCAGTTTAAAATTAGTGTTTGTCTCATAAACACAAAATGATGCAATTAAATATATAAATAAATACATGCTGCTATCCATATTCCCCCTCCCTCAGCCTCCCCTCATGACAAACCCTGGTCTAGTTCACTCCACCCCCAGCCTCCCCTCATGACAAACCCTGGTCTGGTTCACCCCCCCCCACCCCCCCTCATGACAAACCCTGGTCTGGTTCACCCCCCCCCCCCACCCTCCCCTCATGACAAACCCTGGTCTGGTTCACCCCCCCCCACCCCCCCCCCCCCTCATGACAAACCCTGGTCTGGTTCACCCCCCCCCCCCCCACCCTCCCCTCATGGCAAAGCCTGGTTTGGTTCTTTCCCCAGCCTCCCTTCATGGCAAACCCTGGTTTGGTTCTCTCCCCAGCCTCCCCTCATGGCAAACCCTGGTTTGGTTCTCTCCCCAACCTCCCCTCATGGCAAACCCTGGTTTGGTTCTCTCCCCAACCTCCCCTCATGGCAAACCCTGGTCTGGTTCTCTTCCCTACCTCCCCTCATGGCAAACCCTGGTTTGGTTCTCTCCCCAGCCTCCCCTCATGGCAAACCCTGGTTTGATTCTCTCCCCAGCCTCCCCTCATGGCAAACCCTGGTTTGGTTCTCTCCCCAGCCTCCCCTCATGGCAAACCCTGGTTTGGTTCTCTCCCCAGCCTTCCCTCATGTTTTCCAATGGTCTTAGCTTAGGCGACCCTAGTGAAAGGGTCTTTCGACCCAAAAAGGGTCGCGACCGGCAGGTAGAGAACAGCTGCGCTAGACCATGGTGTGGCTCCTGCCAGAGAGAAAGAATACTTGGCTATCTTCCGAATAACGGTCCCAAATTATCGAGGCAGAAAATATACCCTAACAGGGCCTCAGTCACGTGTCAATTGTGTACTTCCGGGGACTATACCGCCGCCACAGAATTGCAAACTTCCAGCGACTTCCGCCACCGCCGAGAGTATCCCCACGCCGCTCACGCGGCATGGATTCACGCGGCATAGAGGACACTCTCGGCGGTGGTGGAAGTCACCAGAAGTGAGCAATATAAGTCGCCCGAAGTGCGCAATTGACACGTGACTGAGGCCCTGTCCTTTAAACTACGGCCGGTAGACAACAGTAGACGGCCGGTTAGTCAGAGTTCAGTCCCTTGGCTACAGTGCAATTACGAAGTGAAAAAGGCACGAATCACAAAACAAAGTGGCGTCGACATGGCTGCTAGAGCTAGACCATGCGCTGCGACTCACATTAGCGACCGCTTTCTTGCGACGCACAAGACTTAGTGGCCGTAGATGTGACACCTCCGGATCTGTATGCCTTAATGAGCGATAAGCTTGCGTGGTTGCAGTGGCTAGCTGAGCATAGAGTTATAACCTAACCCTACCCCTAACCCAAACAGTAACCGTATGATTATAGCAGGGCAGTGCCCGCTGTCTATCGTCAACACACAGTAATTATGTCATTTGTTTCGTTCCCTCCTTTCCACTCCGTAATTGCACTGCAGCAAGGGGACAGAACTCCGACTAACCGGCCGTCTACTGTTGTTTACCGGCCGTAATTTAAAGGAGAGCCCGGATATTTATTAAAATATCAAAGTTGTTCTGTTTGGTGTTTATCAACTTTTGGGGCTAAAAAAATAAAATAGAGGTTGTCATAATTTAGCGACTACGGTGTTCGGCAATTTGCGGTCTTTTCTGCAATTTCCGTTACCCGGAAACCGTTCGAAACTTGTTCGGGAAATGTCGGCTGGTTTTGGGATGGGTCCAAATCTCTTATGAAATTTTGCGATTGGTGTGAATTTGGACTAGCAATAAATAGCTGAAAACGGCGGGAACGAACCCGATTACAGGCGCAAGTTTACGACAGCCTGAATTGCTGTTTTTCTGTTACATCAGTTTGATTGAAAATTCGGTAAGTATTCAAGGTTGGTGTTAGGCTTTAGCTGTTACTAGACATGGTAATGCTAGTTATAATTCTCAGAATTCTCTGTCCAATTTTACATTTGTATATAAAATTTCTTTCTTATCAGTGGCTTTTTAGATTTACAGTGACATTTTTCAGGCAATCGCTATGACTACACGCTCTAATCTCCAATGTAAACGAAGCCAAAACAAAAGTGCGCAGTTTGGTTGCGCAGAGAAAACTTCTGGCTCTCCTAGCAGATTTGGCCGGCTTAGTGGGGCTTAGTGGGACTTACGTCCCTTCGCCAAACTCAAAACAACTCAAAACCAGTCGCGGAAAAAGTCACGAATTAAATGACATACCTACCTATTATCATCCGGGTGCGTGTAGGGTTGCGTAGGGTGTCTATCATCGTCCTACGGTTGCGTGTGGGGCTGCTTATTGCGTGTAGGTTGGATGTTTGCGTAAAATGAGGGGTGGGGTTAGGGGTTAGGGTTTAGGGGTTAGGGTTATGGTTCGATGTGAAAATTTTCACGTAGGACCTCGAAATAGTGGCCAACAATCTGATGCTTGTGGGAGTGGCGCCACTGAAACTCTGCCAAATATGACGCCAATAGCGGGCGGCTGGTGCCCAATCGGTGGCGAATTGTCCGTGTCAATAGCATCCACCGTCCATCGACTGTTTGCGCGTGCATGCGACTGTGCGCGATTATAGGGAACTACGGCGTCACAATTGTCACATCTAACGCTACACCTAACCCTACCCCTAACCCTACCCCTCAACAACCAACCTACACGCAATAAGCAGCCCCACACGCAACCGTAGGACGATGATAGACACCCTACGCAACCCTACACGCACCCGGATGATGATAGGTAAGTATGCCATTTGATTCGTGACTTTATCCGCTAGATGTTTTGAGTGCGGCCACGGGGACATAACTCCCACTAAGTCCCGCTAAGCCGGCCGAAGCAGTCGACGCAGTGCAGCTTACCGGCCAAATCTGCTAGGAGAGCCAAACTTCTTGTTTCTTGGACGCATGTTTTAACAGCTGTTTTTTAAATCTCATCTCCACAAAACCTACATATCTCAGCCCAGAAATGACATACAAGCCTAAATGAGGTAACGTTGGAAAGAGAAACAGCTATCTAACTGTGCTGGTTTTATTCGTGTAGAGGGCATTTTGAAAATTTTAATTTGACTTAAAGTAGCTAGAATTATAACGGGGCGTCTTATCTATGTACACTTACACGGAAAGATACAGCATTACTAATATTATCAGCAATAGCAGTATTAAAAAAATAAGACAAGCTTAATGAAGAGACAACAATAGTTTTCTTATAACAGTGATTAACAGTATTCAGTACTCAGTACTGACTGTTGTTACCGGTTTTTAAAAAAAATACGAAGTAAAAAAAAAAAAATCACACACATCGTTGACTTTATTCAATGGGACTTTCCATGTTATCCTTCCCCTAACGGCTTTAACATCTACGTTGAACTTTTCCTTGGCTTCTCCACGGGCTGACTCCTCAAACCCAGTGACCACGGAGGCTTCAATCGTGCACAATTCTTCGTCATCTTGGAGCGGTTGTGTCTGTTGTGTTTGGGCAGCCATGCTGTTTACAAGAGGAACCACCAACTAAACAAACAGTTGTTGTAACCGATCATCTCGCCTTCCACTTGCCGCTTGGCACTGCCCGGTCTCTTTGTTTGGCTGCTGGTTAACTAATTTCTGCGTTCGAACTTAAACGGGCGCTGGTGGGCTGTGTTGTGGTTTATAGCCAGGATGCGATATTTGCACTTTTCTGTCTAACACATCCAATTTAAACAAATATATCGGAGTCACTTTTTACATGCTTGTTGGGGAAAATGTATCTTTATTTTTCTACCGCAATATTTGCCACAGATCATACACGGAGAGATGAAATAACATAAGTGACAGGATCAGAAATGATGATATCAGTAGACGAGCTGGGACGGAACTACTGCTTAGTTACATTAGGAGACAATTCAAATGGTTCGGACATCTGTTGGATTTGCTTTTCAATAATGACTCCTTTTTGAGTCACTGGGTGTCAGCATGCTTCGGAAAATTGAAACTGGCGTCTTGTGCACCGAGTGTATTTCATCACTTGATAAGACCCAGATCAGGATACTATAACAAATGTTCTGTCCAGGATATTAAGCTGTGCGAGGCAACAAGCAGGCTGAAAGATTAGCTTCTGTCGCTCCTCTGGTAGGTGAGCTACTTTATGATAAATCAGGTATGGTGAAAACTCTCATCTTCAGGACCTTAGTCCTTCACACGGTCATCTGTCTTGCGCATCAACGCTGTCAGAAAGATGTATTTTTGATAATTTATCACGACTTGCATCACCCAAAACAATTTTTGCAGCTTATAAAATGCAAGGTTTAACAAGTGTTTCTCCTACTGTGTAAACTGTCTTGTCTTTCCTTATAAGTAAGGCCAGCTTATATAACGCTTCAGCTGGAGACGGTCTTGTGTGAACATATAAATTAGGAAGATCTTGGAGACATCGAATGTTACGAATGTAACGAATACACTTTGCAGCCATAATAGCTAATAACAATAGAATGTAATAATCAACTAATTCAGAACACTACAGGCAACCTAAAACAGAACAGTGGTGTTTTTTTTTTCTGGGTCGCATAACGAGAATATAGAGGACTTCGAAATTGTGACAAGTGACGGACCGAGAGAAATTATGCTTTGTGATCGAAAGCCGTTATGTGTGAGGGGGAGGGGTGGGGGTCGTCATGTTTTCCCAAAAGACAAAGGACATAAATGCATGAATAAACATGAGTATCTACACTTTCTGTAAGAACAGCAGACCAAAAGTCAGAAGAATTCAAGACCGCCAGCGGTGTTAGACAAGGTGATATTCTCTCTTCTTACCTCTTCATTCTTATGATGGATGATGTCATCAAGACCTGTAAGGAGAAGACAAAGAAGTACTCTGTAGGGTACTGGAAGATGAGACCAATTTAATAATCAGAGCTGGCTTTTGCAGACGATGTGGCCCTGATAGTTAAATCAGAGGCACACCTTCAGTCCAACTTACTTGTCTGGAAGGAAGAGCTTGAAAAGAAAGGTATGACCATCAGTATCTCCAAAACTAAAACCATGGTGATCTCAAGAGAGGAGAAGAAACACCAGATCATGATGGGACAGTATGCATTGGAGCAGGTTAACCAGTTCAAATACCTTGGAGTTGTACTTGACCAAAACGGAGGCATTAAGACTGAGCTGGCTACACGAAAAGCAGCTGCTGGGAGACTCTTCCAGGCCATAAACCGAGGGTTTCTTAGCAAAAGAGAAATTGGCAAGAGGACGAAAATGGCTGTTTACCGCTCTACCTATGTACCAGTCCTGACCTACGGGTGTGAGTCATAGGCAATGACAACAGCTCACAGAAGCCAGCTGCAGGCCTCGGAAATGAGATACCTGAGAAAGGTGGTCCAAGTGACAGGAAGAGACAAAGTCCGCAATCAGACAGTATGTCAAGATCTTGATACCCAACCCTTACTAACCCGAGTAGATCAGTCACAGTTACGATGGTTTGGACATGTATGCAGAATGGGAGAAAATCGGCCACCATGGCAAGCATGGGAGGCTAAGAACCAGGGAACCAGACCTCCGGGACGACCCAGGGTGCGCTGGGAAGACAACATCCGACAGTCCCTAACTGACAGAGGACTGGAATGGAACAAAGCCAGAAAGAAAACTGCGGATAGAGACGTCTGGCGATCTCTCTGGCAAACCTCTACACCCCAAGGTAGAAGAGGAGCGACTAAGTAAGTAAGTATTTACACTTTCTGACAAAGCACATGATGATGAAGAGTTGCCGGGTACCTCTAACCCCCACCCCACCCCCACCCCAACAATTGTGAATCGGGATCAAATAACATTCTAACGGTTATTAAAAAAAACATGCACTAGTTTGGCGATGGTGCTTAGTTTCAATAATAACAGAAATAGCCAGATATTGTTTGTTACGCGTTGATGAAGCTATTTGCTCTTTTAGTCAATACCCACGGATTTCAGCCGTCTGACATCGTGGAGACATCGGTTTGTTGTGTAGCTTTTCTGGCATTTTGCAAACCAGATCAACATGTAGTCATTAGCATCAGATTGATACTGGAGGTTACATTTTTTGGCCTCGATGTCAGTTCTGAGTACTGACACAGAAAAATAATTACCGATAAAAGGATATATTTTATCCCTGATATCCCACAAGTTTGAGATGCTAACCCTGGTACGTGTTAATGACGACATTATTGAAACCTGCTAGACTTATGTCAAACTAGATTTATGTATTATGTACTTTTTATGATGGCTGTTTGTTTTCTACGCAAAATATGGTCTCTAAAACAAGATTTTTTTTTTTTAAATACAGAAAATAAGGTTGTAACCTGTGAAATAATGCGTTTGCTGCTTTTGATGTTGGAAAAAAAAAAACAGAGACACGGACAACAAAGGACGATGACAAAACCCAGAGACACGGACAACAAAGGACGATGACAAAACCCAGAGACATGGACAACAAGGACGATGACAAAACCCAGAGACACGGACAACAAAGGACGATGAAAAAAAAAACCAGAGACACAGACGACAAAGGACGATGACAAAACCCAGAGACATGGACAACAAAGGACGATGAAAAAACCCAGAGACACAGACAACAAAGGATGATGACAAAACCCAGAGACACGGACAACAAAGGACGATGACAAAACCCAGTGACACGGACAACAAATGACGATGAAAAAAACCAGAGACACGGACAACAAAGGACGATGACAAAACCCAGAGACACGGACAACAAAGGATGATGACAAAACCCACAGACACGGACAACAAATGACGATGACAAAACCCAGAGACACGGACAACAAAGGATGATGACAAAACCCAGAGACACGGACAACAAAGGACAATGACAAAGCCCAGAGACACGGACAACAAATGACGATGACAAAACCCAGAGACACGGACAACAAATGACGATGACAAACCCCAGAGACACGGATAACACAGGACGATGACAAAAAACCAGAGACGCGGACAACAAAGGAAGTTGGAAAAAACCCAGAGACACGGATAACACAGGAAGATGAAAAACCCAGAGACACGGATAACAAAGGAAGATAAAAAAAAATAAAAGACGCAGACAATAAAGGGATATGGAAAAACCCACAGAGCTACGGATAACAAAGGAAGATGAAAAAACTCAGAGCGCGGACTACAAAGGACGATGACAAAAACCAGAGACACGGAAAAAAAAAGGACGAAGAAGAAACCCAGAGACACGGACAACAAAGGAAGATGCAAAACCCCCCAGAGACACGGATAACAAAGGAAGATGAAAAAACCCAGAGACACGGACAACAAAGGAGGATGGAAAAATCTCAGAGACACGGACAACAAAGGACGATGAAAAAAACCCAGGGACACGGACAACAAAGGACGATTTTAAAAAACCTAGAGACACGGACAACAAAGGATAATGAAAAAAAACCCAGAGACACGGACAACAAAGGACGATGAAAAAAAACCCAGTGACACGGACAACAAAGGAAGACGAAAAACCCAGAGACACGGACAATAAAGAACGATTTAAAAAACCCCAGAGACACGGACAACAAAGGACAATAAAAAAAAAAAACCCAGAGACACGGACAACAAAGGACGATGAAAAAACCCAGTGACACTGACAACAAAGGACGATAAAAAAAAACCCAGAGACACAGACGACAAAGGACGATGAAAAAACCCAGAGACACGGACAACAAAGGACGATGAAAAAACCCAGAGACACGGGCAACAAAGGACGATGACAAACAAGAAAAATATAAAAATAATAATTCTACAAGAAGGTGAGCTAAGAGTTACTATACTCATTTCTGTCATGCAGTAAGTCTCCGCAAAATGTTGCCGTCATCAGGGCCTGCGGAAAATGTTACGTGTTTTACGAGCTGCCCCACTTAGAAGGTTGCAGACATTCTGTATGACCTGAATATCACGGAGAACTGGCTCATAAACAACATCCTCACCCGAAAGCTGAAGCGCCATGGTGGTCTGGAGATAACGGTGGTGAAGGGTGCAGATTTCGGGAAACGAAGCAGAGGCTGACTTCTGCGAACTTGGGTACGGGACATTGAAGATGCGGTGGCTAGGAAAGCATCCAGGGCTCGAGAAATGGCTAGAGAAAAAGAGACTTTTCGGCGTGCAGTGAAGAGAGCGACGTTTTGTAAACGACATGCTGATTGATTGATTGATTGATTGATTGATTGATTGATTGACAGATAGACTGACTGATTGACCCCAATTCCTGGAGTTTTATAATCCATGTGTAGTCAGAGTTCTTTTTCACCATCTTGTTATTCCATAGCTGGGAGCCACGGGAGCCTAATGACTAGACCCCGCCTCCCAGCCTCAAGGTCCTATGTTCGAATCCACATAAAAGGCGTGACAAGAGGTAGGACATTTGCAAGAACCAAGTGACAACTATGAATCTGCAACCATGACCAAACAAGAATAGTATGTTAAAAGCCGTGACGGCAGACCAGAACGCTATGTAAAAGAAAAAA